AACTCTTGCTTGAAAAGATTCGATGTTTCATTAAGTGGGCATAGTTAGACTATAAAAAGTAGATAGGATTGCAACAGGCTACCTTTCTTGCCTTTGTGCTTTGTGAATTATCGTAGAGCATTGTGTATACCTTGATGACGGACGAAAGCTAGACTAGGATTCATTGGGGTCGCAGGTTGGTGCGCCGAGGACCTATTCGCACAAATTTACAATCATAGCTCGCCCTCTCCTATAGCCTCCGGTAAGGCCAATTTACGAATCCCCTCCATTTGCCTCCTCAAACAAATAAAAGATTACATGCGGGACATCGCAGAGATAATTGCTTCAGTGAGAGATAAGCGTTTGTCACTATACATAGAATAAGTGTCAACTTCTATCCATCGAGCCTTTATTAGTCCTTCATATTATGTGGAACTTCTTCTTTTCAATTACACCCATTATAGTAATTAAAGGGTTGACTTAACTCGCTATTCGAAACGTTATGATCTGAATTCGGCCTCAAGTCTTTGATAACATGTATACTCCTGCCTCATTGAGCAGCCCCCCAAAGTCTGGATTGTCAAGCTTGTCGGGAAACTAACTTGACGCTGCAGATTCCCTTATCCCTGTTCGACATGTGCACGGGGTAAATCTCGTTCAGCATATAATTGGTGTAAGGATCGACTTCACCCGTCTCTTTTGACGAGTTGAAGTGCCGACTACGATGCCGGCGAAACGTCCAGGAATTTACCAAGTCCATGGCCGACGCTGCGAATTATCATGCATAATAAGGTTCTCGGACAAGGTGAGGTCGACATATTTCCATGACTATTGAGCTTCTGAATCTCCAGATCTAATTAGAATTATTTTAGAATGCTCGGCTAATCATAGTTAATGCATATTTTACAAAATTTCGATTATCAATTTGCATATTTAGGATATCTTTCATTTCCTTTTCAGGATTATAATGGAAAGATCCATGCCTATGAAGATTATCCTGTCGTGAATCTCATCCAGATGGTTTTAGGTAGAGCAAACCGGCCTGGAATTGAATCAGATGCCAAGGCTGTTATACTCTGTCAGACTGGCAAGCGTGATTTTATCAGGAAATTCCTTCATGATCCCTTACCTATTGAGTCTCATCTTGATCATGCCCTCCACGATCATTATAATGCAGAAGTGGTCACCAAGACGATCGAAAATAAACAAGATGCTGTTGATTATCTTACGTGGACTTTTCTTTATCAGAGAATGACACAGAATCCTAATTACTATAACCTTCAAGTACTTTTTTATGTTATTTATTATCTAATCTCAAAGATGTATATTTTTTATTTTTAGCTCCTTTAGTTTCAATTAATTCCATCTTTTTTGGATGTATTCTAGTCAGATAAATGCTATATGTAGCATTCTTGAAAATATCTCTGATCGTTTTGAAGGGCTGCTGCTGATTGCCACTTGTCCAATATTACAGTGATTTTATAGATAAAAAGACGAACGTTGTTCATTTGTTTGTTTTGTCTTAATCAGGCGCAATATTTTTCATAATCGGCTTGACCTTTTTAGTCGTCTTATTTATACAGGAGAAAGGGTAGCCAACACCATGGTTCGGCTAGTGCTTAAAGTGAATGGTATATGATTCTGCTTGCTTTATTACTTCTTATTAAATTGCTTAATGGCTCATTTAAAAATAGTTTTCTTTACTTTTACTAGTCATTAGTTCAATTTTGGCTTATTTTCACGGTTTTTCTCTAACGGTATCATTTTGTGATGATGCTGCTTACCTCCACAAGCAGTCGAATGTTTTGAATTATCTCTGGGACTACGCAGATTTTAAATATTGATACGAATATAATCTATTCTATTTGAAGTTACATTTTGTTTAGGCTGAACTGATTTGTGGGTTGCTTTGCTTGAAAACCGGTGAAAGATCGCTTTCGTTTTGATTATTAATCTGATATTAGAAGTCCTTAGCACGCCGTTCTCCGATTCCGATAAACTTTCGTCTCAAGTGCATCTTTAGGGTCTACATCTCTGTTATAAAAATTGCAAGATAGACATTTTCAGCTAAAGATAATAAAGCTTATAAACACATATCAGAATTTGATCGTAAGAATCATGTAAAGGAAATGATACATTTTATGATTGTATGGGATTAGTCAAGGTAGATGTAATTAGGTGGTTAGCCTGTCCAAACCAACATTGTAACATACAGAAGTTATTTGATCTTGGTTTCACAACTTGGTTGTATTGTTAGGACGATGTAGAGGATTCCATGGATTTCGTATGCTACCAGGCGTTTCTCTGAAATCGTACTAGCCTTGCCAGACTTAGCACCACACTACAACTCGTCAGAGACAAATGAAGTCGATTCTTTGACATTGTCTGCTAGACATTATTAGTGTCTCTCTTGTCCTGGTGTATTCACCTATCCTATATTCTTAACACTCCTTCACTATCACACTTTCCTACTTGCCTATCTAAACCTAGTTGAGATGTGCTTTTTTGAGTGAATTTATTTAGACATATTCACATTTCCCTGCACAGGAGTGTTAACCCAATACTGCAGTTTAGTCCGAAATCCTCTTTTTCCAGGTCATATCAGAGTCTACCTCCTAATCCGTATGACCCATCTTATCTTCCTGATTCAGCGATTTAATTCGGTTGATGCTGTCATATCCGTGCTACCTGAGACGTTACGTTCAGCATTCTGTCTCCTGCCTTTTTAGCATGTATACGCCAGTCTCAATGAACAAGTTCCACAAGTCTGGATTATCAGGTGGCATAGAAACCTCACTTGATGCTGCAGACTCCCTTATCACTGTTTGGCATGTGCTCCGATTAAATCACTCGATCAAGCCCTTCATGGACCACGTCTATGATCAAACTTATCTACTAATGGCCAACTATCGATGGTCTCCGCCGCATCTCCCGCATTTTTGTCTCTAAAGCCAACTATGATTTTCTTATGCTCTAGTCTCTTTTGTGCTGACCCCCATGTGATAGTTCTACTTTATTTCAATAGGATCCACGGACCGACTGGGAATTTCAATACATACTATGGATACGGGCAAGATACGAAAACAAAAGTAAACATCTAAAGGAGAATGCAGCCTTATTAAACGCCACATCATGGTCTTCATATCTTCTAGTGTAACGTAGACCTTTTTTAAAAAATATCTAAAAACCGCATGGCTAGGTTTTTGGAATACCAAATATCAGATAACTGCACAAATAATATCCTATATTAACCCTCAAGGCTGGACTTAAGTGTTTTCTGCAATACTGTATAGTCAACTGGAATAAGAAAAAATTAATAACACTATTGCTACGGTAGCTATAGCATACTAATGGGTTTTCTCAAAAAAATATTGCCAATTAATGATGCTTTTCAACATTCCAGTGTACAGCATAGCTTTAATGTAATTATAAATTGTTTATCGTTATATATTGA